GCCAACTCTTTCTACGCAGTTTTCTTCTCCTTCACTTATCAATACGATGCCGGTTTGGTTTCGAACTCCTAACGCATCTTTGTCCGTCGTTGTAAGGGGGTTGCGGAAAGCTGACCACACGTCCTCGACGATGCCTCGATCAAGGAAGAAACGGGAAGGAAAGCACAGTTGCCAGCTATTGCTGCCGCCTGGGTAGTTTCCACCATTTGATTTGATCCGACTATATAAACCCCTCCAGTTTGCTTTTTGCGCTTCATATCTTCGTATCAGCAACGAATCGCCTATGCTGTGGTGTCACATGGTCAGACGGGACCTTTGCACACACAGGACCTTGGCAATGGTCATGAAAGGGAGGTCCCTTCTGCGCGCTAAATTAAAGTCAATTTGACTCTTCTCAGCACCGCTCGCGTATGTGACCAGGTGGCTATCGCGCTTCTTGAAGGACGTATTGCAGATGGCAAAATCATCGGCCTCAGCAAAACCCAGAGTGCGTCATCCACTCCCGTTCCGTACACCGTATCCGTTGTTTCCATGACAGCAGTATTCGTCATGGGTATTGCCAACGTGGACATTCAGGTCACCACGGAAGAGGCTGTTCTTTTTCCACATTAGCAACCACTTTGTGGAGCATAGACCGAGAACACATGCAGACGAGTGGCGACATCAGTCATAGCAGAGATGACTTTATCCGCCTGGCGCCGTATTTCTGAGAGTCGGCTGAGCAACTCCTTGCTGGCGACAATGGCCACACATTTGCTGTTGATTACACCGTAGTAGATAGGTTTGGCTCAATCTTCTTCATTATCGCGTGACTTTGTCATCGTGTCTCGTGTACGCATGCAATGTCCACCTTTCGTCGTTTCACCATTCGCGAGCTCGCTGCTGCATCCTGTTAAGAGCCCGTGTTGAACGTAGCAATGCACAGTGGTTCCACTCGCGGTCGGGCTTTCATCCGGGCTACCTTCATTAGCCTGTTTCGCCGGTAGCCCTCGTCCATTTGTCACGATGGCCGGGCGAACCCACCGCGCTTCACCTCTGGGGTCGCCTAGTACTATTCGTTTAAAATGACTCACGAAGTTGCGAACTCTTGTCGTACCAGCAACCTGCCGTCCGAGTCTGACGCTGAGTTCGAGATTGTTGCTTAGCGTCGTGAGAGGGGCAGTTCCTCCAGCGCCACCACGTTGAGGACGGACTCCCATTAGAAGTCGCCTTACTTGTTCTGTTCGGCTCTTAATAATTCTTGTTCTATGGCCATTGTTCGCCTGCGGACCTTGGCCGGATGAATGCAAGGCTGCCACCTTTGAGCATCGCATGAGCGCGAGTATGCGAGACAAACCGTTTCCCCTGCTTTTTTGAACAGACCAAAAGGTGGGCAGGTTCATCGGCAACTGCGCGGGATCCAATTCACATCACATGACGTTTAGAGGTTGAGTGTACAGCACGTCTTTTAGCGTGAATTCCAGGTAGGAGGACTTGCTAAGGCCAAACGTTTTGCCCATAACTCGGCATTTTTCTTAAGGCCTTTGGATCACAAAATGATGCGAAAAACAGTACCTACCAAAACCCAAATCCATGCTACTAGGTTCAATATGTGGATCTCAACTGAAAGTGCTGGATCACATTGTGGAAGTGAATGGAATCCCCGTAACAGATTCAGACGTGTGTAGAGAGATGCTCATCAAATCTATGCAGGTATAATTTCCAACTGAAAACCTGTACATATCAGAAGTTCCGTAAGTGCATTAGAGAGGCAGAAAATGGAATGTCATGACAAGCTTAGAGGCTTCCAAGAACTCTTTCAGCACCACATAAGGAAATCTCAAGTATACATTCTGCGAAAACTCGATAAGCCGAGCCCTTCCTCGTCCCGGTAGTTCAGTCCACAGCCTCGGAGAGTGTCGCCCTCTTGCGGCTATTCATTGAGTGGGTACTAAAGGGGTTGCGTCATAAGGCGAAGGGACGCCCAGGGCACGTCCTGCTTTTGAGGGAAGAAGTTTGCAAAATACAGTCCCTTCAGAGCTTCTCCCTCTGGTGCGATCTCCCCCCCCCTTCCCCAACGTACTACTATTTTCCTGAACGTTCCCAACTTTCTACCACTTCCACCAGTCTAGTTTTAAGGGGGAACGCGTGGGGGGAGGGTGGGAGGGAGAGGGCGGAGACGAAAGTATATAGCAAACAAGAAACGGGAAACAACAACACAACTGAAAGCATCTTCTCACAAGGGAATGGTTTCAACTTCCCATGGAACTTTGAATGTGTACTCTACGGTACATGTCGATAAAGCCTGGAATTGGATGATTGCGAATATCACAGATCAAAAGTGCTTACGGTGATCCGTCTCCAGACGAGTTCTGGGCGTTCATAATTAAGCTCAGTGTTTGCGTTCATAAGCGCAGGCTGATCGATCGCTAGCAGTGCCAATCGTGGCTACGTGGTAACGGTGCCTCGCTTAAAGGGAAAATGCTAGTGGGTTTGCATTCTCGTTGGCCGCGAATATTTTTGCTTCGTCCCTGACAAGAGCTTTTACTTCCTGATTTGCCCGAAGTAATTCTTCCCCATTATACGGACGGCCAGGCCGCAGACCAAGGCAGATACAGTATGATGACAGTACTTCGTCCAGGTAATGGTTTATGTGCACGTATCTGCCATCTCTGAGAATCATCATCGCCATCTAATTCGAGTTTTGAGCCGCAGAAAGATCGTAGTAGCGTCATATATCATACTTGATCTACGTTTGCTCTGGGCTTGGGTCGCTAACTAGGTATGAAGTTTGCGAAAAACTTAACGAGTAAAAGCTGTTGTATAGGAGTCGAAAGAAGAAAATTTCGCGCCAAATGGATGAACTCACTGAGCATTGGCTTCGAAAAGCGATCACTGTTACCACCTTGGCGCCGACGATGGCACTGCGTAGCGATCGATCAGCAGCATGTCTTAGTGATCACAAAACGTAGTTCTTCGCAAATTTTTGACGCGCCAGTAACTCGTCTGGGAGGGTCCACCGTAGTGCCACTCTATAATCTGGCAGTAATGATCGTAATCATCATCTCGGCTCTATCAATGTACCGTAGATTCCATTCAAGGTTCCATGAAATGTTTGGAACCATCGCTTGATCAGAGAGTAAACACGAACCCGTCCGCTATGAGATACCCCATCGTCGACGATACTCCTGCGGGACGGAGAGAGGTGGCACCCAATACCGAGAGATATCGCCTGTAAACACAGTTGTATAGGCGGTTGTGTTGGGTCCGAGGCTTTGAGCCCTCCTTGTCTTCTCTGTTCTTCTGGTCTCCTCGCCCGCAGCAGTCCGAGCTTTGAGGCCTTCCTTGTCTTCCTGTTCTCTCTGGTCTCTCGCCCATGCAGCAGCATCTTGCTTCTTCGCATACTCGTCCAATGCTGTAGCCTTCTTTAGAACGAATTCGACAGTTTTCTCTACTTTTTTTTCACTGGAGAGTCAGCTGGTACCTACAAACTCATATTTGGACCACATAGCCCACGAGGTGCAAATGCGGAATATTTCTTTGATATTCCTATCAACATGCTTGTATCAGGCGACACTCTGACAAGTAAAAATCGCCTGAATGCACGCCCCGCGCTCAAAATGGGGGCTTTACGGCTCAAATACTGATGGCAGAATGGAAGATAACACAAAAATGAAGAAAAAAGCACTAAAAACCCGCCCGAAATGCACCATATAGAACCCCATGAACCGCGCTTATGCGTGCAGAAGGTGAAGAAAGGGCGTGGTCGGATAAGTTCTTGGTTGTTGGTGTCAGTTCTCTCTCCTTATCACCACACTCTCACCCTTCGATTGGAGAGAGTTAGTAGGGAACAACCGCACCATCAGCTAGCTAACAGTTAGAAATGAAAGTTGGGCGTTGCCGTGGCTAGTGGGCGGGGCCGTGGTCACGTCGCTAGCAGCTCGCGCTTTCTTCACGTGTTTTCAAGCTGCGAAAGTGGTACATCCTCCATGCTCGCAGGCAGACTATCATGTCCAGAGATGGTGCCTAAACATCAAAAGAACACTGGGCGTGCCTTCAACTTCCCAAGTGATGATGTTTCGAGTATTTTCAGATAGAAATAAAACAATGTAGATAATTTTGCAGAACACTGACACTGTAAGTATGGTGGTAGAGCGGCCAGTGAACGACGACGCGATCGCTAGCATGAAGGTGCATTCTGATTAAATATTGGATTTCGGCCAACTAATCCTTTTCTGTATTTTGAGGGTTTCCTGGAAGCTGCCTGCAAACGTTCAGCACCTGTCTCACCGGTTAAGAAGCCTCCGGATGCGACCGTTCCAGAAATGAGAACAGCGATAGAAAGGAGAGACAGGAACATCGACAACCTGATAAAGCGCGAGAACGAGAGAAGGTCTAAATCACAGACTGGGGCTTTCAAAGAAAATAGCGTGTTGGACAACAACAGCAACGAAAGACATTCCAGTCAAAGGAAACGTTCATCCATTAAAGGTATTGAGTACATTTGCATCTTTCTGGAAGTTTTCATTCAGTTCTGTTGAGTTCCGAAGCGTTCAGTGCTACGGATAGAACAGGGGATGCGCCACGCCGTAATCTTCCAGTCAGAGTTGTGGAGAAATTGCATTTGAACAAAGAGGTCACATAAAGTGTCTCGGTTTCATGAAGGGCCATGAAGGGCCAAAGTTGCGTCAGCGCCTAATGACCTGTATCAGGGCTAATGCCGTTTGGAAGCGCTGACTTTTGGCTGCGGGCTCATTCATGAAGTGCCTAGATCAAAAGCCTAGATGTTATTTAACGTCCTGATTACGAACAAGACATTTATTCATGGCGCTGGCGCTAATGGAGGACACTACCGATGCCAACATCACCGAGTGATATGCACAAAGCCATTCTAGGACATACGGCCTGCTAGATTAGCCTACCAATACAGCAGAGAAA